GTGGCAGAGCGCAAGGAGCGACTGATGGCAGCAAGGCAGCCCATGTAGTTACGTGGATGATAGGATGGAGGCCCAACGTAGGAACTGGCTTGACTAGTGTCTGGTGGTCGCTAGCGATGAGTTTTCCCGACAGGAGCGTTGTTGGTATGGTGGAACGCTGATGTTCTGAGAGAAGCAGGGCTGGGTGGGCGACTGGGGACCAATAACTGTCACACAGAGACTGTGCCCGAGACTCTCAGTGAAGATGAAGGGCCTCTGGAGAATGGCCATCAGTGTCGGTCGCACACTGGCCCGGCAGCGCTCAAGTGTGACCAGTGTCTCGTCCACCCGCGCTTTTCGCCATCTGCCGCTAAGCTGGACTGCGGTTGGGTTAAATGCTGTGACATTTACTCGCCCTTTCGTCGAATGTCGTGGAACTCGGAGGATTTATTCAACAGCGAGCACCTTTCGAATTCAAGCGTCCTGCTTTGAAGTGTCGGCGCCTTGGCCGCTCGAGTGTCGACGCGGTGTTATTTATTCATCGTCGTCGAACCGACAAGCACCTGCTGCTTCCAGCTGTGCGGCCCAGATTCTGCGTCAGAACTCAGAAAAACGGCCAGCCAGGTCCACCATTCGTAAGATGACCTTGATTTTCGCGGACATATCCGCAACTGTGACGAACATCGGTGGTGTATCAGCCCCGTGTGTAATGTGTGCGTGTGCTGCCGCATCTGTGGCCGCCTTATATGCGTGCCTTTGGTATTGGTCCAGTGACGTCATTGTACCTATGTACACAGTGACGTCATCAAAGCTGGAGATAACAAAAAGTGGGGGACAAAAGGACGATCTTGGTATTGTACTGGTAGGTAGTTAAAATCAGGATTCAGGGCTATGTGATTCGGTCGAATGCACTAACATTGTTCATTCTTAAAGTTAAGCTGTCACCGACAGTTCTGTCGGTGACAGCGATCACTGCTTGAGGTGACAATACATACAGTGTGTAGGCCGAAGGAAAACGATATGCGATAAAGTTATTTTTTCCAAGATTGAAACCTAGCAGTGCTATTAGATGAAGTACTAAAACAGCATTAAAAAGTCACTTGTACTGCCATTGTTACAAGGATTAGCTCTATATTAATGGATGTTATGTAACTGGCTTCCGCAATAGGTATCTTCAGTAGTTGCAGCCTTCGTCTCGACATTACATAACTGGGATTGCTAAGGAGTGCGCTGCATTCTCCTGTTATATAACCGATTAGCTGATTCGGATGGACGGTCGTCTTCGCGAGCGCCTCTGCTCCGGTTTGTCCTGGGACTCCCGGTGCCAGGCTGGCGTCCAAGTGCCGCGGATAGGGAGACGTCCGGTCCTGCCGTCCGGCTCTCTCATCCGATTAGGCCTTGTGCCCGCCCAGCCTACGACCAAGACCGAGACGGCTGTCTCATTTCCATGAGCTCCCTGTTCACAGACGGTGTGCTTGTGGCGTCATTTTGACGCCAGAATGATGCCGGGATCACATGAGTTAGTTTCGGATTCTCCTCGCCTGTCGAAACCGCTGACCTGATTCGATGAAAGGTGACGGGAAGGGTTGCTGCTATGGGGAACCGCTAACCCTGTCTGTGACCCAGTTCCCAGCAGAATTCCGGCCAGTCCCCGTCATTTGGCTGTTTCCGGCCCTATCTCCGGGGGAAGAAGGGTTGAATCAGCGCCGATTGTGGCCGCGGATAATGATGGTCGTCTTCCGCTACGTAGCTACCCCGCTGTCAGTCCTTTTATTGTGCCATTGAAGTGAACGTTTTGAGGTTTTGATTGTTGATTCACCACAAAACGATACACGATATTGTATACGAGTACTTGCCTTATATGGTGTCCTCGCCTGACACTTGCCCTTACAGTTCGCTCTCGTTTGTAGAAAGGTCTCAGAGAACACCGGTTTTTCCTCGTGTCACCTTGCTTACTCTCTCGTCCGTCCATTGTTCTCGCCGAGTTACAAACAACTCGCCGCCTTCACCCGTTGTCCCCTCGTTTCCCAGAGTTCCTCGACGTGGTGTGACCCATGCAACGCTACCGTGTGTTGCGTGGCATGGGTTTCGTGTGTCATCAGCATCATGTGTATTGGCGGCAAACGTCAAAAGCCACCGTCTATCCCTAAATATTCGCCGGTGATTCCCCCATAGAGGCGGAGTCGAATACTTGTGTCTGTTATAGGGGACTAGTACCTACTGATGACTTCTTTGGACATGAAGCCCGCTCGGACCCTGGCCGAAGCCCTCTCGTAGCTCGTCTGGCTCCCGCAGGAAGAATCCCATCCTACCCTGTTTAATATCCGTGCGGGCGACACTCGCCCCGGGCTGAAAGGTCACCGGGCGAGTTACCCCGGATGTCGTCGCCGCCGTGCGGGCCGTGTCGTCATCCGTCGGACAGGAGGTTCACCGCCCCAGCGCCGCTCTCCTCTCGTCTCCTGTGAGCACGTGCCGTTCCCTGCGGCCGGGTTCAGGGGCCGCACGGTGAGACCCGGTCGTGCACCCGGCCCGGAGAGGCAGAGGCGCGGCCACCATTTCGTCCCGGTACTGGCCGAGCTCGTGCCGGATTGCTTTTCCTCCCTTTCCGGGAGAGTGACTGGTGAGTTGAGAACCAGTCCGGTCGTGCACTGGTGGCCTGGGCGGACTGACGCGTACAGAGACCGGCCGAGACGGAACCAATGGGTCAGAGAGATGAAACTAGACGAGCTGAAGGGGAGGAACGAGACGAGCTGGAGGGGAGGAACGAGACGAGCTGGAGAGAAGGAACTAGACGAGTCGGGGAGGCGAGATGATCGAATGAAGACGGAAGTGTTCTCGTCTATGTCTCAGTCTGCCAGGCGACAGGCTTCGTTTCGGGAAGGAATTCTGCACTGTATCAGACGCTAACTTGGGCTGAGCACTGCAGTACCGGAGTCCCTCCTGGGATTGTCGAAATGTTGGCACGTTCCTGGATGGACTAACTCGACAAAGTTTTGGTGTTCTGTACCAACACTCGTTTCGCTGTCGCCACTGGGACTCAGAAGAGAGCTGGGCGCTGGCTTTTCGAGTGCCCCCTCACTGGGAGCGACAGCTGCCGGACGGGCTGCATATGGTCACCTTTTGACATAATGCAAACGGGGATGAGAAGGAAAATATCGTGCTCGGATGCATATGGAAAGGTGTCTGTGCCTGGGGCGGGATGTGTCGCATTGATGCATGAAATGGCGTTTCGGCTACGGCAAAAGAGTAGCTACCCGCTGGAGAGACCGAGAGGAGAAAGGGGAAAAGCCAAACATTGCATGGTTTTGCTTTGTTTGTCGAGTGACGTAAGGGACGTGATGAAAAGTTGATATTTTAGCTGCTGTTTTTGCTACACCACTTTCTATCCTTTTAGCAAAGCTTAGTCCTAAATTAAAGACGAATTCATTCGTGATTTGCCTACTCTGTGATCAGTGGACTAGCTGCATGATCAAAGAAGCTACCGGTACTGGGGGTCGGTGTTCGCCCCTTGTCAGGACGGTGGGGTGGTGCGTTCTGCCTGCCGCGTGGTCCCATCGACCGGCGGGGCGGTGCCAGCTCGGTACGGGCGGCGCCGGGGCGGTACGGGCGGTGGCCGGTGATGAAATGGCAGCCTCCGGTCGTAAACCTTGTTTGCGAGCTGTGCGCTGCTGGGCGGGCTACAGGTGTGTGTGTGTGTGTCTGTCTGTCTGTCCGCCGGCCGGCCCTACCCTGCCGCGGTGTGGGGTGGCGCAGCACTGTACGGTTCCGGCCGGCTCGGGTAATGCTCAGTCAGTGATTGGGCACATTTACTGGGGCGGTGAATCAATGCGCCGCGCCCTTTGGTGACCTGATTGACTGCATTACTGCTGCATAAAGCGACTGCCAGAGTGAAAGCCGCGGTCGGTATCGCTCATTGAACGCTGCGAGATGGAACTGAATCCTTCATTAAACCTACGTCATTGCCGGGCGAGCCGTGAATGAACGGCGTCTATGAGCCAGATGATGTTATTACTGAGGCCTCAATATGGGCACGGTAAAGTCCAAGTGTTGTGGTTTCTCCTGGAGTGGGCGGTTTTGCATTTCCAGCGGCGTTAAAATTATTCCAGCGGGCCGCGCTATACGGGCACTTTCCCTGGTAGACTCGACATCTAATCGCCGTGTTCGGGGACACCCATTGCACAGAGGCATCACTGGACCCATCCCTGTCAGCGCCGTATGAAATACGAGTGCCGCCGGTAGAACGGTTCCACGATCCGTCGGGCCCAATAGCTGCGATTATCCACGGCACCGCGGGCCGGCCGGCCGACCCACCGGCCTCGACCCTGCACCCCGGCCCTGTGCAGCGTGCAGCGCCGCGGCGCGTTACCAGGCGCACTGCAGGGCCGCGGTGGTACCGATGGCACTTTATTACCGCGGTGGTGTCGTTACCGTGATGTTACCTTGCCTTAGCCTTAGTGAGGGAGTACTGTGGTGTCTTGGTGGTGAGGTGAAGCATGTCGATGCTCCTTGACGCCGCTGTCGCGCTGGTGTCTGGGTGGGTGGCATGGCAGGCTGGATGTTGAAATTGGTAGAAGAAGCTGACAACTGGACCTGCGTGGGCAGTCAATGGCTGGGGGTTTTGGATTGTGTGGGCGTGCCGGAGATGTGCCCGTACCCGTGGGAAGATGATAAATTCAATCTGGAACGTCTGTGAAAATGATGTGTGACCGTCTGAGATGTTGTGCAACACAAATGGTGATTTGTGATGGGTTCGGGGCACGTATATTTCAGAAATGAAAAATGATGCCGCGTATATGTCGAAATGGCCTTAGCTTCTGTTGCACCCCATGACCCCATACTCTTGCTCTCCTAGTCTCGACTCTGTGACCGCTTCATCTCATCTTTGTCCTTCCTGTTTCTGCCCACCTCGTCTCCGTCTATCTCGTCTCTGACCGCCCGTCTCTCTGTCTCTGTCTATCTCGTATCTGCCACCTCATCTCTCTGTCCGCCTCGTCTCTGACCGCCCGTCTCTCTGTCCTCAGGGCTCAGGGCTCGCGGTACCGGGGCCCGGCCGGCTGGTACGGCGGCGAACTGGCCCGCTTCGGCGGTGACCTGTACGCTGCCGACCGGTCACCGGGCGTCGGCAAGGCGCTGGCACGGCGCGGCTCACCAGCCGCCCTCCAGCACGCGCGAGTCATCAACAACATCGCCAAGCCGGCCCAGTCGAAACGGTGCGTGACGCGGGGTGTGAGGGGGTGGGATCTGATGGGTAGAATGGGTAGATGGAACTAAGGTGTAGCGTGTGGGGAAGTGGCTGGGATCGGGTGGTAGGCCGGGATGTTGAGATTGCAGAGCGGTGGCTGAATGAGTGCGTGGTAGATGTTGCAGGAGTCTCCGTTAGAGATGTTGATGAAATGTTTAGGAGTAACATGATTAACCCGCGCCCTGGTGTGGGTCTGAGCCACCTTCGCCCTGGTGGGGGGGGGGGGGCCAAAATGACCCCCCCCCGTCTAACTCGAAAACGAAGAGGGCTAGGAAGACGCGGAAAAAAGCAAACGAAAGCCCATAACAAGTACGTTCGAAAGTATTTCGGTCATTTTTTCGCTAAGGTCAATATTGAGGTCGCTAGAGGTCATCATAGGTCAAATTTCAGTGTTTTCGGTGTTGCCGGACATATTCCGCTGTAGCTCGGAAACTAGAAGAGCTAGAGAGCCGCGGAAAAAAGCAATCGATAGCTCTTTTCAAGCTCTTTCGCCAAGGTTCGTCAGATTTGACCTCAGCTCAACGGTTTGGCCTACAGAGGTCATGCAAGGTCAACTTGGCAAATTTCGTTGAAAATGTTTTTAACTATAGCATGCATTCACGAGAAAATAGAGAAACGATTCATGCACCATCGTGCTTGGCTCGTCGAGACGCGTCGAATGATATATAGTTTGACCTCGAAAGGTCATTTTGAAAATTTGACCTCAGGTCAAGGTCATGACCTTACCGAAATAGGTCATGCTGCATATCATTCGATCCGCATTGACGAGACAAACACGATAAACGTCGAATGGAGTCTCTATCTCTATTCAATAACAAGTAAGTGCAGAAAAACCGCTGGTGACCTCTGGTGACCAGGGAGATGACCTAGCGTGACCTCAGCGAGGTCACAAGCAAATGGTTTCACATGGGCTGTGATTTGCTGACCCAAGACACTTCAATAACGAAATATAGGAACAATCACGCCCGATTTAGCTGAAAAACAACTACTTTTCGATTCTCCCATTGACTTATAATGGGGAGCAGCGATGACCTGACCTGACCTTAGGTCACATTTATAAAAAAATCCGAGATAGCCATTTTGTAGAGCTGGGTGACATCTTCAAGTACTGTAAATTTTACATCGATCGGATAAAAGCTGTGCCTTTGAGAGAGCTTTGAACTTTTTTAGAGGTGGTGTCAGTTTTGGTGACCTTGTGACCTGACCTGACCTGACCCGAACCCCCCAAAAAAGGACATGATGTAAAAATGTTGAATAAACAGCTATACAAAGTTTCAGGGCGCTAACTCAAGTGGTTTCTGAGTTATCGCTGAAAAACCACAGGGGGGGGCCAAAATGGCCCCCCCCCCCCCACCAGGGCGAAGGTTAAATGAATGGGAACATCCATTATGTGACAAAAGGTCTTATTCTACGCACATCTACAAATGCCATTGTCGGAAAATGCTACGTAGGAAATTCTTTCTGTGAAAGCGTAAAGAGCCTTATGAGAAAATATGGGTGGGTGAGAAGCGATTCAAAAAATTATGTGCATTACTTGTTTCATTCTGCCCGTAAGGCTGTGAGCTTTTCGTATGACGCAGTGGTTAGCTGTGACGAGGACCGCCACTGGCCGGTCGTAAACGGGCGCCAGTAATTATGGGATCTATGGATAGGACGGGGTACGCAGCACTACCTGTCGTAACTCTGAAATGTGGTCACTTTACGCGATCGTAACGGCTGAAAACACTCAATCACAGCTCCTAAATAACAGCGGCAGCGCCGCTTGGGAATACAGATGAGTTTCTACGCAGTAACGTATGGGCAGTGGTAGAGCTTTTTGGCCAAGCACCGCCATATATTCCGTTTTTGAGACTCTAGCACTCGACGTCAACCCTTACATCGTACGTTAAAAATGAGCAGTTCGATGGACTGTGTCGAAACATGTGTTGGCACAACCTGTTTTACTGCTTTGAAATGTTTGTTTTCGTTGACTGAGTCAGCACTGTAACTGTGATGAGAACGCGTGCTAGCCGTGTATTTCCTACACCAATTTAGACAGACTGAACATCTAGACGAAGAACATGGATTGTTCTCCGTAGCTCCCGAGTTCGGCATCAATGTTATATATATTTTCTTAGCCCACCTTTGTATGGGCAAGGGGAGTGTGATTAAGCACGGCGCATTCGTCATCTTCCACTCGGTAATGTCCTTGATTTTTTCTCTTTTTGTTGCAACTATGCGAGACGAAAACGATGTGATAAACATTGCGCAAAGTCCGGAACCACGAGCCGAACGTGGTTGAAGGCTGGACCATGAATGCCACGGTCCCCGGTCGGACAGATGACACTGAGTGACACACTGGTGACACAGTAACCGGCAGCTGACCTTTTTGGTGACATTGGTGACCGTGAGGCCATTTCGAGCTACAGGGGGTGCGTGGGGGGGGGGGGGTCAAAGAGTACATTGCAACACCTTTTCTGATGTGGAAGCATTGAGGCTTACAACCGGAATTGAGATAAAAATTTAAACGGGTTTGGTCTCTCTCGATGTGATTAATAGGGTTCTGAATTATTGCTGACACAGAAGTTGCTGTGTAAGGTCGTGATCAAAGTGTTGTTATTAGAGGTGGCAAAAGATGAAAATTTTGGGAACCAGACTCGAACCAGACCCGGCTGGACATTTCTGGAACCAGTCGGGCCCGGTCTTAGTTGGAACCGGAACCAGTTGGACCCGTTCCCCAAAAGTCAATTAATACAAACTACTTGTAGGTATCATTAGTTGCATCATGTAAAACAACCTATTTCTCACTGGGAATACTCATGAGCTACTGTGTGCAAAGAAACGTTCACTTCATTCACTTCATATTTTGCAATAATGTGTAGTGTGTAAGATGTATAAGTTTATGGTAGGACCCGGTTGGACCCGTCAGAAAATTTCCAGGAACCGGTCTGGACCCATATGGGTCCAGACTGGTTCTTTGGACCGGGTCCTCGGGTCCACATTTTGCCACCTCTAGTTGTTATGTGAATTAGGGAAGGCTTATTTCGTAAAGAATTCGTGCTAGTTGGCTCTTGACGCGATATGATGCAAAATTTGCGTGTCGTTTGTTTTTCTGGCAGTATGCTGGACATCTATCGCCGACAAGTGGATTTTTACATTTGAAATATAGGTATATCGCCTACCTCGAAGATAATATGAGCTAGCTACAACCAGGAAGTAAAAACAGATAAGTTGGACAGCTCGGCTTTAATTGGCCGTTTGTCATTGATCGGCTTGCCGTAACGGTCTGATATCTGTGAGGATAAATGTCAGCAAAAGATTTGCAGCGTCTGTAACGGAGAAATCGCACGATTCAGTGGCGTTTTGCGGAGAAGGTCACAGCAGCCATTGATGTCACATGGGGAACAACGGGTACTCTTCCAGTTCGCTCTGGCTGCACAATTTCTCCGCAACAAATATGAGGTCACGTTTGCCATTTCGCTCCGTAATGAAACAGTGTTATTGTTCTCCAATATGCTCCCACAAGAGATTAGTGTCTGGCTCGGGCAATAACGAAGGAATTGTCTGCATAGCGATGCTAACAATCGGCACATTTCGTCGTAGTCGTGCCTGCTTCCAAGTTCATCTGTGGGTATCTTTAGTTGAATCTCTTGTGTCCTTGGCTGAGCAATGACTCAAACAAACTGCTGTGATGACATTGAACGTCTTATCGCCTGTAAAACACGTCTCAGACGACTTCGAATGTCCCAGCCAAGCTAGGAGACATCGTAACTAGGAAGAGTTTCAATAAAACTAGATGCTAAATCATGTGTGTGACATAAGCCATAATTTCCCGCAACCTTTATTTTTCGTGATTGATGCTATTGCTGAGGTATTTTCCTTGTAAGATGAACAACTTTGCCTTGTTTTTCTCAATTCCCAAGTGGAGTGCCCCGTTCCATGTACCGCCGAGCGGTGTGCCCGTCCCGTGTGCTCCCCCGCCCTGACCTGACCGTGTGCCGCGTCGGCAGGCCCACACGCCGGTCGGGCAGCGGCTCCGGCTCCGAGTCGCGCTCTCACTCGCGCTCGTCGAGTCGCTCCCGGTCGTCGCCATCGACGCGCAGCTCGTCGAGCACCAGCCGGTCGACGCCGTCTCGGTCGGGGTCTCGCTCCAAGTCGCGCTCCCCAAGGTAAGTGTCTGACGCCGCCACTGCGGCCGGTGAAACCTGCTGGCCGACTTACCTGCCAGCGCGGCCAACGGTCCGCCGCCCGCCCGCCGCTGCCGCCGCCGCCGCGCGTGGAACAGTCGACGGCACACCACCAAAATAGCCGCAGCGTCCGTCGGACGCGGCCGTCTCGGCGGTGGGTGTTGCAGCGAGCGGCGCGGCGCCCAGTGCCGCCGGCCACCCCGCACGGCTCGCCAGCCAGCGGTAGCGCGCGCGTGCCCCGGACGCCAGTGGAGGCCCGCGAGGCGGCCGGTGACGCGTCGCGCCGGCCCACCGGTGCACCGATAGCACACCCGTCCGGCCGGCCAGTGCAGTGGCGCCCGCCGGCCGCAGCGAGTGGCGACCCATCCGCGACAGTGTGTGTGTGTGTGTTTAGCGAGTGAGCGGCGCGAGCACCGAGCATTGTGGTGAGCAGCAGCAGCAGCCCCGCGCGGGAAGCCGCCGCGCGGCGGGCATGTGCGCAACGACCGGGGTACATGAGATCCCTGCGGCAGCATGAGATGGCCTTCCTGCGCAGTGTGGAGCCGGCCACGGCGGCGGCGGCGGCGGCGGCCCGGCTGTGCCGCGCTGGTGGCCGCCACGTGCCGGCCCGGCCCGGCGCCGAGTGCCAGCAGCCGCCGATGGGGCCCGCGGCGGCCGCCCCCAAGGGGGCCGGCGGCCTGCCCCGCTGGAAACGCTGGAGACGGAGGTGCGTTCGGTGAGAGGCGGCGGGATCGGCGGCCGGAGCCGCGGAGACGCTCTCACCGTGCCTTTTTGTTGTGTGTTTGGGGGGCTGAGCGGGAGAAAGCGCGCGCGCTGGCGGCGCGTGGCGGTCCGGCGGGCGAGTGGCGGCCGTCGGCCGGGCCCCGACCGCCGGCTCCCCGGGCCGCCGCTAGCGGCAGCACCGGACGGGCGGCGGCCATCGCGCCGGCCCGGCTGTCGAAACCGGCCGCTTGGCCAACCACCCCCGCCACTCTGCCCGCCCGCTCTCTCTGCTCTCCCCGCGGCCGGACGTCGGCCCCTGGGCGGTGGCGGCGGCGGATTGTGAAACCCCGCCGCCGCCACCGCCGCGGTCGGAGCCCCCCGCTTCGACAGCAGCGCCCCCGAACTGACCCTGTGTGTGCGTTACTTTAGCCTTGCGTGTTTGTGCGCTGTCCTACTGTGTTATATTCCGCATTCATTGTGAAACTGCGCAGTTCTTGTTCTGAGAACCCCATCAGCTAACGCTTCTGTTTGCAGCGCCTTTCAGCCACTTGTACTCGTTTGAACGTCTTACCCGCTCCCTCGTACCGTTGCTGAACCTTGCTCGAGTGTGTCCTGATTGCTCGCATTGCAGACGGGGCGTGCCGCCGAACGCCGCGTTATCGCGCATCCTGTCTGTCCTGCGGCGTGGTGACTATCGCGCCCATCCCCACCTTGGATCCGGGCGCGGGCACCGCCGGTTGCGAAACGCTGCCGCTCCTGCGACAGGTAGACATTCAGCCGCATCCCCGCTGTCTCATCCGATTGCTTCAGTATGACGGTCCGTCCGCTCGGGCTCGAAACGGTGACGACATGAGCGAGACAGTGGCCGACCCGCAGCTGGCTGGGAGGAGAGCCTGCGCGGTGACCCGGCCGCGCCGCCCGCCCCGCTCGGCTGCCCGCAGCGTTCTGCGCCGCCGTCTGGCCGGCGAGCGCTGCGCGGCGACCCGCCGCGCCGGACCGAGCCCCAGTTGGTCCAGCCGGCCAACTCGGATTGTTCGGCCCGCCGGACGGCTGAGCAGCCGACCCACACTGAGCGACGGCGCTGAGCAGCCGACCCCGGTCCAGTCGCGGCGGCGGCGGCGGCGGCGGGGTTCTGTGAAATGAGCCAGCAGCGCGGGGCGGCGGCGGCCTGGCACCGCGGCCCCGGCGGCCGCCGCGCTGTCGGCCGCCTTACATGGCGCGGCACGGCCGGCCGCGGCCTCTGTTGATTTCCCATCCGTGTCGTCGTTTTCACACGCAAAATGCGCCGTAGAAATGCACGGGCATGTGTCGTTCCCGCCTGGGCGTGCCGCTGCATATCGCCGCCGACACCGTTATCGGCCGGCTGCGGTCGCTGCAGCCCAGTGCGCACTGGGGCCCCGGCCCGACACAGTTGCGATATGGCGGTGTATTCCCAGCTCCGCAATCGAAATAGAGCCGCTCGCCGAGCTCCGACTGATGACACAACTTCGGAGCGCCGTCGTTTGCCGGCCGGCTCGTTGGTCCGTCGGGGAACGAGTCGTTTCCGGCGGTCAGGGACGGCCGGGGCTCGCTGCCGGCCTGCCGGGCTCCATCCGGCGGAGAATGGGGGCTCGTCGCTCGCTGATCGCCCAGCGATGATGGCCTGATGGGTCGTTTGGGTATCGGCAGCAGCGGCGGGGCCGGCTGGGACTCCGGTTCTCGTGTCGTCGCTGGAAATCTGCCCGCCTTGGCCTTCTGGGGCCCCTTGGCGCGTCCGGCAGTTGTGGCGGTGGCGGCGGCTCTGCGCAATGCGCGCCTCCGCCAGCTCACCATATGTGGAGCGGACGCAGCGCCTCAGTGGCAGTGCCGGTCTGTGGCTGTCACTGGCCGGGCCCGGCCGCTGCGCTGCGCCAGCAGCTCTCCCTGCGGCCACGGCCGGCCGTCTGTATCAGGGTCTGCACTGCAGTGGATGGGATGCAGTGTGAAAGCTGCCCGACCGGCTGGCATCCTGTTTTCAATCCTGCCATGAAAATGTCATGCCTGCTTGTTGAGCCCTTCGTCTGAGTCACTCCGATCCCCGTTTGTCCTCGGTAACCGCTGTGCAGGGGCGCGCTGGTGTAGCTGCCCTCCCCCTGAGCTCGCCCCTGCTCCGTGGCCGCCCGTCGGCCGGCCGCCGCGGCCCGGTTCCCTGGCGCCGCCTCTGGCCCGTGGGGCCAGGCCGGCCGGCCGGCTGGCTCATGCCGGGCTCTGGGCCGCCGGCTGTGGACGATGGATGCCTGCCCGCCCGCCGCGGCCGGCGTCGGGCTTGCCAATCACGCGTCCCGCCCGGCTGGCCGGTCGGACGGGCGGGCGGGCGGGCGGGCGGCTGGTGCAGTGACCCCGGTCCGCCAGCCCGCCTGGCGAGGCTGTGCGGTTGGCGAGAGCGGCCAGCCGGACGGGACGGGACGGGTCGTCAGCGGACGGTCGGACCCGAAGCAGTCAGCGCTGAGCGCGCCGTCAGCCGGACACAAGACAGGACTCTCCGGTCCTCCCACCATGTTTGGAAGCGTCACGCAGCGCGACGCGGCGCCGTGCCGTGGATGGCTCGGTGGCTGGTGTACTAGCAATGACCGAACACCACTCGCCTCCGGCCAGCCTGACCTCTGGCTGCCCTTGAGGGGCCTTCCTGGTGCCTCACGCGCCAGTGACGTGATACCCCCTCGTGACCCCCCCCCCCCCCCGGGTGTCTGTATGTGTCGCAGCGCCGTGTTATCTAGGCCGGCGCAGCGACTGTTCGCCCTGGCTGCGGGCAGGGGGCGTCGAAGTCTAGTTCCTACCAACCTGGCACTCCCATGCCTACGTCACCACGAGGACGCCCGAGGGCATTTACATGTTGAAGATAGGGAAATTGCCATAGTTTAGAGCCGCCTGAAGGGCAACCTTGAGATAGATGGTAATGTAAATGTGTGCTAATATGATCATCAACATGTTATTTATCCAAATCCAGGGCCAATTAATCGATAACCTGTCACGTTTTCCAGTGGTGATGCGCTAACGTTCGTGGTTCTTGCAGCCAATAAGGGTGTTTCATAGTGCGATTCAGCTGCATTATCGACTTTACTGCCATAAACCGCCACGGAACATACGATTTGCAGCTCCCTGGCGTGATAGCTGCCAGTAGGGCTCCGGAGTCGGAGTCATGAAGTCGGTCGGAGTTGACAGTTCTGACCTGAGTCGTCGAGTCGGAGTCAGAGTAGATTTTAAAAGCCTGGAGTCTGAGTCAGTCACCGAAATTCGATCCCCTTCGCAGACCTTTCAGGGTTCCGTAGTCGGAGTTGTAGTCGGTCGGAGTCGACAGTTCTGACCAGTCAGTTTCAGAGTCGATTTTGAAAGCCAGAGTCGGAGTCGGAGTCACCAAAAAGCCATTGCCTCCGCAGACCTGCTAGGGCTGTGGAGTCGGAGTCACTCAGAGCCGACATTTGAAATCAAAGTCAGAGTTGATTTTTGAAAGTCTGAGTCAGAGTCGGAGTCATCAAGAAACCCATCGACGATCCGCAGTACCATGCAGTAAGGGCGCTGCCGATCGATGCCCCTGAATTGCCTATGAATTGAATGAATAGATGACAATTAATAAGGTAGGTACCTTCTATCATTCATCCCCTGCCACTTGGAGGACTTACTTTCAGTAGAAAAAGACGCATTATTTTGTTTGTTTATTTATTGACAAATATTTTTTGAGCAGTTAGGGATACAGACACAAAACACAATGATAGCACCTCGCTGGTGCAAATAATTGCTAGATAGATGTTGAGATGTGTTGCCATTGAAGAATCTACTGATTTTCCTGGCGGCTCTCGTTTTCAAGTAACTACTGGTCTTGTAAGATCTCTTGATTGCTCACCGTCTGGCGTCTTCCAAGGTTTTCTGAAAGCTAATCGAACGTTACCATGACTGCTTTTTGATTTCATGGCGCTTGCTGGTTCTGCTTAATTGGTGGTTCTTGCGTCTGATCCTGTTGCTTCATGTTCCATCACATCACATTAAATTTCTAATGGAACAGACACTTCTACCTTTTATTTCACTATCAGTCGACTTGCTTTTACCCCTGTGGCCTGCTCGCCCTTTTATTTCCACGCTGAAATCTATCAATTATTTGAAAAGCCTCGGATAAAAAAGCAAGAAAAGTATGTCAAGTTAAATAATTGAGACGGCCCTAGAAAACCAGAAAAAATCAAATCAAAAAGCCTGTCCATCTCACTTCCCTCACTTCATAACAAAAACGCAGCAAAACATGCGAAAGAGTCCTTAGCAACGCCCTAGCA